AGACTGAAACATACTGGACTCATCGCTAAACTGTTCTTGCTTGTCGTGTGGCTGGGTCTGGTGCTCATTACTTGGCCGCTGGGGCACAGAACGCATCTCAATTGGATAACTTGAGACGATTCCTGCGTCAATCCAGTTTCTTTTCTGGGATGGTGCCAAACCCCACATGGCGTCCTTGGACTGGAGGGCACCATCAGTATCACCCTGGTAATATGATGGTTTGTGGGGTTGTGATGAGCCAGATCTGTAGCTAAACATGCTTTCTTGTTGAAGGTAACCATTTAATGGCCTACCAGAGGAAGCACCAGCACCACCAGGCAGACCTGCAGCAGTGGGGTAAGAACTCTCATTTTGTGACCCATTTTCAGGCCCATAAACACCCAGAGAGCTTCGGGGTTGTGCATAGCTCTTATGTCTGGAGACAGGATACTGATTGTGTGGAAAATCCTCAGGCTTCCCAAAATAAGGCTTAATGACACTGGAGTAGCTCCTCCTGTAAGTAAGAGCTACAAAGAGAAAATTAAATCGACAGTGCTCTAACAGGTTAGTGATTGCATAATGTAGTTTGAACACATCAATACTCACCCTCAGCATGCTTGCTGAAGGCCAACAGTGAGAGCAACAACACCCTGGAAATACAATGTGTGTTAAACAAAGTCAGCATATCAACAGATTTGCTAAAATGGAACAAAACAAGTTTACCTCACACAAGGTCCAGAGGCCATCTTTCACAAAGCACAACCCAGCAGCCTGCAGAGCACGCACTGTTGCTTGCAAACAAACAACAGGTTGAGAACCAATCATATAGCACTCATTTGAATCAGGCGGGAGAGATTAGCAGAGGCCTTCCATCCACCTCAGCAGCTGTTTGGAATTAAACTAATTAGCCAGCGTAGTTTGTAGACTACTTATAGGATCAGCTGACCAAAGTGATGACAGAACTTTAGCCCCTGTGTCTAATTATTGAGACACCCAACCACGAGTTTTTGGATGCCACCTAAATCCAATAGAGTTTACATTCAAATTTGTGGTGCATAATGACTTTAAACTGACATGTCTTCACACCAAGGTACCCCATTCCTTATTGGTCTATTATCTTAAAATGGGTGTTAAATTATGAAATATACTAAAATAAACCTAGTGATGAAAATTCAAGACTTTGGTTTCTAGAGGCTTTATGATATTTTATCATAAAAAACCACATGCTGTCCCTTTTTCCACTACATGGTTGTAGAAATGTTGTTAGCATTATATTTTTGTTTAGTCTTACCAATAAAATGTAGATAGGAAGGAGTTTTCTGCAGGTTCACATTTAAAAGGAGACTTCACTCAGGCAAGTCTGCTGGACTAGACGGAGTGAGTCCCCACGTCCTCAAGGCCTGTGCCCCCCAGCTTTGTGGAGTCTTCCATCAAGTGTTCATGCTGATTCTGAGTCTGAGGGTCCCGGTGCTGTGGAAGACATCATGCCCCATCCCTGCACCAAAGACGCCACGTCCCAGTGACCCCAGGATTACAGACCTGTCGCACTGACCTCCCACATCATGAAGACCCTGGAAAGGCTCATCCTGGACCAGCCGGCGAGCACTGTGAGGGTCATGTTTTTTGACTTTTCCAGTGCTTTCAACACCATCAGGCCGACCCTCCTGGGTGATAAGTTAGCAGCGATGCAGGTGGATGCTTCTCTGGTGTCCTGGATTGTTGATTACCTGACAGGAAGACCACAATATGTACGTCTCCCACAGTGTGTGTCTGACAAGGTAATCAGCAACACAGGGGCACCACAAGGGACCGTCCTCTCCCCCTTCCTCTTCACCCTCTACACCACAGACTTCAGCCACTGCACAGAGACCTGCCATCTTCAGAAGTTTTCTGATGACTCTGCGGTGGTTGGATGCATCAGCAGGGATGATGAGACAGAGTACCGGGCTGTTGTCGACTCCTTTGTCACGTGGTGTGAGCAGAATCATCTGCAGCTCAACGTGGCAAAGACCAAGGAACTGATCATGGACTTCAGGAAGACCAGGAAACACTTGACCCCTGTTTCAATCCAGGGGGTCAGTGTTGACATTGTGGAGGACTATAAATACCTTGGAGTTCATATTGATAATAAACTGGACTGGGCTAAAAACACCACAGCACTTTACAGAAAGGGCCAGAGTCGTCTCTATTTTTTGAGGCAACTGAGGTCCTTCAACATCTGCCAGAAAATGCTGAGGATTTTCTACAAGTCTGTTGTGGTCAGTGCGACCCTTTATGCTGCTGCATGCTGGGGGACTCAAAAAACTGATCCGCAAGGCCAGTAATGTTGTAGGAATGGAGCAGGACTCTCCTAAGGTGGTGTCAGAGAGGCGGATGCTGTCCAAGATAAAGACAATGTTGGATAATTCTTCCCACCCACTCCATGACATGCTGGTCAGTCACAGGAGCACGTTCAGTGAAAGACTGAGATTACCCATAATGCACCACTGAACGACACAGGAAGTCATTCCTGCCTGTGGCTCCCTGTACAACTCATCCACTTAACACACTGTTTACTGCTACAGCTACAGCCTTCTTGCACATGTTCTTCTTTCTTATTCAGTTTCTGATGGGTGCAGAGGGATTTATTATAAATAAATAAACCTTAAACCTGCCTGGGGTAAAGCAGACACAACACGGCATCATGGTTCACTGAGCTCATTTTATGTGAACAAGTTCTGGGAGATTTGGAGATTTGTTAGGGTAAATGAAGCCAAATATAATAGGAGAAAAGATGTCCTGGGTATGTAGAAGTTTTTAAAATTGTTTCACAGTACAGGCCTCTAAGACTTTATACTAACTCAGCGTAAGAGGCACATCCTCTGATTAGTTTCAGGATAGAAGGCTTTAATATAAACTTAAATCTAGAGCATCAGTTTGGAGGGACAGCATATGAAAGGTATATTTTCAAAGTAATAAACAGGACTGTTTCCTGTTATGTGATATTTAATAATCTAAGGTGGTCCTTGTTGCCAGATTGATGTTTTTCAGTAAAAAGACTTCAGGAGTCCTGCTGGTCGTCTGTGACTCCTGTGGTTTATGTTCAGAAAGACACTACTGACAAAACGTAAATCATTTTTATTAAATCTCTTTTATCTTTGCTACTTTCACAGTAATGTCATGCAAACAGAGACTTAGTCACATTACGCAGAATCAGCATGCGTTGGAAAAAGCAACATTATAATAATTCAAAGCAGATAGATATGTTTTACTTATCTACAGTAGAGTAATGTCATTATGGCAAGATCCACATTTAATGCAAAATATTTTCAAATAAAGAAAGATATTTACAGTTATGGAAATATGACCCAGTTAATAGGAACACAACACCATTTATCAACATGCCTGCAAAAACTGGGATAAGACGAGAAACCACAGGTGAAGAAAGAAAAGGGACGAGTTAAGACAATCAGCAGGATACAAAGAAGACGGCAAGTAAAAGAGACCAGCAGAGGACGGAAGGATATACACTTCTTTGAATGTTTCCAGGGTCAGTTAGCTGAGCTTAAGGCCGAGGCAGAGAGCCAGCTCATTCTTTTGGATCTTTCCGTCTCCATTGATGTCACAGTGACCCATCAGGGCTTTCCTGAACTTATCCAGGTCTGTCCCACTGATGCTGGGCTGCAGAAAGAATTTATAGCTGTGAAAGTCTTAGTGGATTTAAATGCTTCAAATAAAAGTCTCTACAGGTTATTAAAACAAAGAAAGGTTTATTTAAAGAAAGTACCAACCCTTCTCTGTAAGGGTTTTTTGTTTTGTTATAGAATAACTGCATTTTTGTGAGTGATATCAAAAATCATACAACAACAGAAACATTTAAACAGCACTAAACAAAAACACTGCTGTCGGGATCGTAAGAGTAAGAGTTATACCTTCACCAGCTCCATCATATCTTTGACAAATCCATCCACCTCAGGGCCCTCCAGTGCACCCGTCTTACTCTACACACACGTGGCATAATATTATTTTATCATCAAGAATAACTGCGTGTCAGAACTTCAAAGGTTTTCTTTCTCTATTCACATGAAAAATGTGCTTTGCGTGAACCAGTCCTGCTCTCTGGTTGTATTATTAACAAAACAACAAAAGAATTCAAGCCCAGTGAGAAAGAGATGATTATTAAAGTGGGCAAAATTCCACTTACAACATCATAGTGAGCGAATATCTTCTCAAAGTCCCTCTTTCTGTCTTCCTGACTGCAAGCCTGAGAGCAGAATGTTGCACTGAGTATGAATAAATGAACATCCAAACTGAGTATGAAAGGTTAAATATGATTCAGTCACAGTGGCTTTGTTGTTAGGTGCAGTTTATTCACTTTACACTACAAGTCAGCATCTTCACACTTACATCCATCTTAAACTTCAGCAGGAAATTTTCTTTTAAGGCCAAAATTCTGGAGAAAAGAAACAGATTTTTGTCAAATAGAAATATGATGGAATCCAATAAATATTTTCAATCCCTCAAAGGCTTTTGTGAGCGATTCTATTGGGATGCAAGGACAAAAGAAGAAAATATTTTAAAGCAGAACAATAGAAAATGAAAACAAAATAGAAAAACATGTAAAAACATCTTAAAGAGACTCAAAACGGTGACAAGCAAGGTCACAAAAACAAAAGAACACAGAGAGGCCGATCGATCAAAACAAAGAAAATGACCGATAAAGTGACAGGGGTGCCACCAAGGGGGGGCAGGGGCCATCCCCCCCCCAAAATGTGCTGGCCCCCTCAGTGCTGCTTATACAGTTTTTGTCATCTGTAGTGTGTCATGTAGTATGTCCCTCACGATTTCCCATCCTCACCCCCTCCCCTGTGTCACCCCCATGAAAAAGTACTGCAGGCGTTGCTGCAAAAAGGGTGTAAAAACACTCGTTGGTGCCAGAAAGTGAGCGATGAAACAATTCGAACAGTACCTGGCCAGGTCATTGAGATCCAGTCTGCCATCTTTGTTTTTGTCGAACATTTTCATCTAGAGGGGGGAAAAAAACCCCCGTCAGAGTGAAGATGAGCCAAACTTGTTGCCCCCCCAAATCCCAACCTCACTGCCCGTTACCATGGTGTCAGTGTACTCCTCCAATTTTTTGGGGGTGATGGTCTTCCCATGTTGGAGGAACAAGTCTTGAAGAAACCCCTGAAGAAAGGCACAAGAAAGACGCATCTGCCACAGAGAAACTCCACCAAATGTGCTTTTTTCATTTTAATTAAGCCCCAATAACGATCTAATCTGGGTTCACACAATAAGCAAATCGATGATTTTTGGGGATCTGAAATCATTTCACCACCTCCGAAAGCTGTGTCTGCTTTTAAGATATTTCCTCAGATTTGAACAGTCACCTTGAGTTCAACAGCTGAGATGTAGCCACTGCTGTCTGTGTCATAGTTTCTCCAAATCTGCAAAAAGAAAAAAAGGATAAATCCTAAAAACAAACCATCAACATGAAATTACAGTTCGTCTTTGTGCCGAAGGTTGAGCCACACCGACAACAGTCTAACCTACAGGTCTCCCCTTCAAGGTCCTTTCCTTGTTCAGCTTTGGACCTCTTCCAGCACGTTGCACTTTTTAGATCATTCAGTGGATGCACAGTGGATCTCTACTAGTGTGTGAAACTTCACGTAAATGTTGTGGAAGATTGCAAAGTCACAGGAAGCCAAATGTGAACAGTAGGGCAGATGGTGAGCAAACATCATCCTGGTGGGCCCAGAACTTTCCATCGATGGTTTCCAACTCTCTTGGTGAGGAATTTTCCTCATTTTCCTATTTAAGGAAAGATGGTTAGCTGGAGGTGAAGCAGAGAACGGGAGGAGGATGGTGTCAGCGAGAAGCCTGCTGAAACTAAGTTTAAAGTAACTGAAGCAATAGTGTCCAAGGAGGAAACCAGAGAAGGTGGAGCTTCCGACGTGTTTTTACCAAAGTGACCATGGTTAAAAAGAAAGAAAGAAATCCAGGTTCTCCTCTGTTACGACTCAAAAGCTGCAACATAAATATGGAGACTAATACCAGAATTTCACAAAGCAGAGGTTTTAATTTAAATTACATAATAAGTTAGCTGAAAAAAAGCTGGGCGCCTCCCTGAAAGCCTCCCTCAGGTGTGCCTTTATCCACACCTCACCAGGTGTGATCAGCTGCCAACAGCTGAACACTCTCGCCCTACAAAGAGATTAGGGGCTGCAGAGCGGTGTCATTCGTAATGATTGATAAGACAGGGAATATTGATTGTCTATTAAATTAAAAGGTTAACACCTTTACAGTTTCATTTAGTATTTTGTTTTATTTGCATGCATTATCTATGTAATTATAATTCTGAGCATTTTGTGACTCATGGTGTTTCAGAAATGTGCACATAAATACCAAAAGGAAACAAAACTGTTGATATTGATTAATCTCTGATTTGTGAAATGTTCTTCCACACTGTTACTCATTAAATACCCATCCTCCTCCTCCTCCTCCATTCCTCATCGCTCCATTAATGTTGACCTTTGACCCTCACCCTCATAAACTCCACACTGTTGTCCAGCGGCGTCTCTCTGCGGAACAGAAGCAGGAAGTTCTCCTCCTCTGGCAGCATCATTGTGGCCAGCTGAAAAGGTGACATACAGAAGAATATGTTGTTGAGTCGAATTTCTTCTTCTTTTTTGTAATGTATGTTTTTTTTGTACAGGAGTGAATATGCTTGTTGGTTGCTGACAGAACACATCGAAGGCTGACCTCGTACCTCTTGGATCTGCAGACGTCCGCCAGCCCCGATGTCACACGCAGGCATGAACTTCTCTTTCAGCCTTCTGATTTTGTCCTCAGTTATCGCCTCCTTCAGAAAACAGCATGGACGTCAGTCTGCAGCTAATGAGTTTTGGGCATTTCTGGGTCCTGTTTACTTATTATTTTTTAACCTCTGGGAGTTACAGTGAAGTTTTCGAGGCCTTCAAATGTGACAGCTGACCCAGAAAAATCCAAATGCTACCAAAAAGTTACCATAGTTGTTTTAATCGTGTCTGACTTTTACAGTGGAAATGTTAAAAAAAATACAAACTGTAGTTCAGAACCTCGTTTGGCCAACAGGAAACGATTCGCTCATCGTTAACCGTTCTCACACGTGGATCTCTTACCTTCATCCCGAGTTTGTGCAACGTGTGTTTAAAGAAGGCCTCCAGCTCACTGGCTTCGATGTAGCCGTCGTCTACGACAGAAACAAAATGATGGTTTTTCTGTCACTTACTCTCGAGTAGAACTGCTTATGTGACACTGACACAGTTTCACTTCTTTCTTCCAGCTAAACTGGTTCAGTTCTTCTGCACGAGCCGTTTTCAGAGAGCGGAATCATAACAGGATTTACTGCGACGGTTACAATCTTTCCAAACAATGTAGTTTGTTTAAAATTAATTGTTATAATTCAGATAAAACTGAGTTTCCTCTTAAAGTCACAAAGTTGAAGCTGGAACTGAAGAAAGTCTCAACAGCTTGATTAAACCCTGCACTGTTCACACGTATCATCATCATCTCACACATTCACTTCCATCAGCTACAAATCACAATCACAACAATTTATTAGTTTATTTTTGTATTTGATTGTAGTTTAGTTTTACTTTTATTTGAATTTCATCATTATTTTCTGCTTAAGGACTTTTGCATTTCTTCGTGCCCTGTTCCATTTTATTGATTACTGCACATTATTAAGCTATTATTTTATTTAATTATTGGTCTGTTTGTTAAGCTGCTGTAACATGATCGTCCCAACTCACTGGTTTCATATCACGTCAAGTTTTGCACTTTCTATTTAGAAGCAGTAGCAAACTCAAATCAATTATACAGTTTGTATGCCAGATATCTTTTTAATACGTTCATATATCTATATATATTAGTAAGTTAAGGTCCATTAAAAAGCTCGCCTTCTTACCATTTATGTCAAAATGTTGCCAGATCTGTAAGAATCCTGCAGCGTCCAGTCTGTCCAGTGCGCTGTCCATGGTGCTTTAGACCAGTCTACAGGCAGGAAACAAACGTGCCCGACGTCCTCACAGAGAGACAAAGACGGTCTGTCCCCCTGAAATAAAATCTGCTCAGGCGTCGCCTGAAATCAGCCAAATGAGCATGAAGACTTGGTGGTCTGTATATATGAAGGGAGGGGTGAGCGAGAGTGCCCAACAGACATGCGTGTAAAGAGAGCGAGAGAGAGACACAAGTAAAATAATATTTATTGGTATAAACATTCAAATACAGAAATATCTGACCGTGCGCTGTCACATTTACAGCAAATCTATAAAAACAGATAAAAAGAAAAGAAACCCATCACCAAGGATTTTAAATCACATGACACAAGCCCCTCTTAGTCTGTAATCAGTGTCGGCTCATATTTACAGGATACATCGGTGAGGGCAGCAGTACATGATGAACAGAAATCACTTTGTTTGTTTAAACACTGAACCTTTATGGACTCGTGATAGCAGAAGAGTAACAGATGGTGACATTTACCAAAGGCAGTTTGATGTTTCGGATACACGCACTGCTTATTTTCATTTAGATAGAACCAATTAAATATTACAGGACAGTTCACCTCCAAATCAAATGTGCTATTCTTTCCGAGAGATCAGCTGCAGAGATGTGAACTCACCTCGGGGTGCTCTAAGGGCCAAACAGTACCTTTGAATAGCTCAGCAGTGATGCGTCTTTCCAGACATCATGACCGGCTCGTTATAAAAAACCCTCCACGAGCCGTGGAAAGAGCAGCTTCACATGGGAACTGTTGCCATAGCTCTACCAGCCCAGAGAAGCACGCAGACAGCCAACATTACAGCTCTGCTCAAGAGGACTCGTCAGTGTTTACATCCTGTAACAGGAATCACGTCCCAACATGGGTACGTGCTCGTTTGCCCGAGCAGACTGTTGGATGGTTGTAGTTTGGTAGAAAGAAAATAGTTCCCACATGAAACTGCTCACAGCAAAGTTTGTGGACTTCATGAGAAACAGGGGCGTGACTTCAGCAAAGAGGTTTCCAGGTGTATTTTCAGGTGCTTCAAGAACTACTGTGCACTTCATGATCAAGAAAAACTAAATAAGAAAAAGCGGGGAACCCACGCCAACACAATCCAGAAATACAGGGTGGGGGAAAACATGCAAACGTGAGTTTGGGGTGAACTGTTGCTTTAAATTTTGCATCTCAAATCTTCATATTACCATCCTCCTTGTTGGCTTACTTTTGCCTGACTTTGAGCAAATAAATAAAAGGAGCACGAGCTGCTCTCTGTCTCCACCTGCTGAGGTTTTTTTGCTGTGTTCACATCATGTAAAATGAGCGTAGCAGCTGTTTTTTCTGGGTTCAAACCCACTGTTCAACTGGGCTGAAGGCCAAGCTGTGGATGAAATGAGGCGTCTGTATCATTTCCGTCCGCGGTGACTGGAAGGCTCTAATTGGAGGTTTGCAGTCGGAAGTGGACGTGGACGAAAGCAGCATTTACAGTCCACTCGACATAAACGCAGCATCGTCTCACTGTTCCTCTGACGCTCCGTTTATGTCGCTAAAATGTTACATCTCGATCTTGATTAAAAAATAAAAATAAATAATAGTAATGATAATCTGATGGTGCTCTAATTAAATACACCGCATCGTTTCTGGTTTAACAATCGTTCCCTACTCTGTGTTTTGTCCTGGGAACATCTGGAATCATCTCAGCCTGCTGGCTGGTCGTGGACATTAACCTTATATTTAATGCTGCTTTATGACATTAGAGCTGGAGTCTAGCACTTTTACACATAAATCAACATCTGTTACATTTGGCACAAGCTAATACGTTGCTTATATAAAGCGTCCCCAACCTCCAGTCACTGCTTTTAATGTTCCAGGCCGGAGTCCATGGAGTGGACTCGCTCTCAAACACGCGTGTCTTTGAGGAAACATCACTGTCACAATGTGCAGATTGATTTATGATTTATCTCGCTATCAGAATGGAGCGACAGAAAATTCAGAACAGAATTTTTTGACTAGTTTGTTGCTCTTCTAATGAGTTTGAGAATTTTCCAGCTGCTTTGAATTTGCTGATTTAAAGATAATAAAGAAAGATTTTTAGACTTTGACCTTCTTACAGTCGCACAAAAACAACAAGTCAGACTCATTTTCCTCAGTGCTTTGGACTAAGTGAGCTTTTTATTGCTGAGTACGTTCATCTAAGCAGCCACAGATAAAACCCATCCTCCTGCTCTTTATGGTCCTATTAGAGCTTTGGACAGAAACAGTGGTGGGGTTGTTTTGATGTGCACGTTGTTTTGACAGCTGGGACTAATCCAAGGTCGGGAAAGTCCCACTGATAACAGCATGACAAAGTGCAGCATCCACTGCACGTACAAAGAAAAATATTTACACGCGTGTCTTTGTCCGTATGAACGAGATCGGCCTCCTTAAAGGTGGCCGAGCAGGATTTAGGTGACTGCAAACACCTTACAGGTGTCAGACTGATGTCGTGTCATCACTGGACTCGTCCTCTGATTTGCTGTTAGACTTGAGATCGGCCTCTTCATCAGCTGGACTCGGAGGTGCGTCAGACAGAGATGGAGGCCTCACTGCAGAGAGTGATAAAGATAATCATACTGATGCACTCTAACACCACCTCAAGCCTGTGGAATACAGTCTGTATACTTTACTATGAGGTTTGCTTGTTTTTCTAAAAAGAGGATGTGGTTATTATTCATACAGTACTAGACCCAATCAGCAGGGAGGACGCTGCGAGCTGCTGTGGCCTGAGGTTTTGCAGATTACTCGTGATGCTCTGGGCATTCAAAACATCTTTGCAGAGACAGAATACAGCAGATCATCCTCCTGACTGATCCATCGAGCACCAACATGCAGTGATTGTAAGTGTGACTGGTTGTACCGTAGGCAGGGAGGGATTTGGTGCGCTCTCGGTTGTCCTCGCTTGCAGCTGAAAGGTTGACTGTCCTCTTCAGAGATGACGACCGCTGGCTGCCCGCGCCAGACGCTGCGCCTTCGACGGATCCATCAAACACATCGCCGTCTGTGGAACTCTCACCTGCTGGAAGAGAAGGACACACTGTCTGTAAAGACCGACACGAATTTGAAGCTGAAAACTCTCAGCGGCTTCATTTGATTTCCCAGCGTGGACTTGGACAGCAGATATGAACTACCGATGACTGATTAGGAACCGGTTTGAATGCAAAGGTAAGTGTTGGAAGTCAGAAAGGTACTATCCTACAGGATGAAGACGGTATCAAAGAAACGAATGAAAATTAAGGAAATAAATAACGTGCAGTTCCTCTAATGGCCACTTGAGGGTGCCCACTAAAGCGGCTCCATCCCCAAAGCCTCTTCTGTTAAAATGCAAAGTTTGTTTACAGCTTGATGCAAAAAGTGTCTCAATAATCTTTCCAATATAACTTCATAGTGGATGATTTTAAAAAAGCTTTTTTATTATTGAGTAAATTTTAAAGCAGTTTAGCATAACTGCCGCAGGCCGTTTGATTGACAGGCGTCCCGACCTCCACTGGACCTCTGCTCTGTGTTTGCTGGTGTCGGTGGCTTTTAAGACATCTTCTGAGAATAATATTGGACAAATTACACATCTTATTGTACGAACAGATCAGTCTTTCCTTAATTTTTCGTGAATATATAATTGGTATAATATTTGTGTGCTAATGTGCAGGGTTGCATGTATCTACACCATTAAACACGTGGATGCAAACTGATGATTAAACTTTTTAGCATTAGCTGCTGAGCTCTGATAGTTTAGATTCCATAAAGAGGATTGTGGTGATCCTAAAGCTAGTGGGTGTAAGTTTGCTTTAAAAATAAAATATTGAACGAGGTTAAAACAACAACTCTGCGGTTCACACTGAGATATTCTGCAACGCTTCATCAGCTGAAACACACTCACTCTGAAGAGTGCAATAAACTGTCCTGGAAACGTACAAATGGCCTTTTCTTCTCGTCTCTTTGACTTTAAAATCACATCTTTTTACACAACAATTAAAAAAAGAAGAGAAGTCGTCTTTTTTTCTTATCGCGCAGCTGAGTCGCTGTTTTAAGGAAAAACACTGAGTCCCTGTGAGCGTTAATTACACAACTAAAGCATTAAACTACCAAATCCCCCGCACAGTGACATTTGGACGTATCAAGTACAGGCTGGGATTGAACGCATCTGCTTTAAGTGTGACAGACCATCGCTTCAGACGTAACATGTGTGGCGTGTGGAGGCGTCAAACACGGCCCTGGAAGCCTCCATTAAACATGCAGGAACCTGGTAAATTAAGTGTTGTGCTTTGCCAGAGCGGCGAGTCGTGCAGCCTTCATCGCAGGGAAGCGTCTCAGCAGCCGTGGCTGTCTGACATCGTCTGAGTGGCCATCTGTGCCGAATTTAAACCACCTTATCAATAAAAAATAAGTAATAAATAAATAATACCTGAACTATAATGTTTATAGACTGAGATTGATGCCTTTTAATAAAGATTGATTATCTTAAATTGTTTATTGAAAGGTTTTACATATATGAGTCTTGTGTGACGCCTAATTTCTTTACATTTTACCAGGATAATGAAAAATAAGTGCTGCGATTTATTGAAACATCTGATCCATGCAAAGGAAACCAAGATGTGCTGCTTCAATCATGCTCTGGGGAGGCCGATCCATGACCCATAGTGGTTTTACTGCACTGGTGTCGTATGTGGGATCATTGTTCTGCTGAAAAATGTGCAGACGGTACTGCACGGTGGACCAAAGTATGGCGGCACTTTTCTGTCCATCGGTCTCATCAGCTGTGACGAGATCATCCAGGACTGGACCGAAAATGACGGTGTCCAATGAAAAACAATGAAAACAAGTATAAGGAGGTCCGGTGGCTTGAAAGAAAAATATAAAGAAATCACAGTGACTCAAGACTTTTGCACAGTGCTGTAGGTACTAACCCCTCTGAGGAGAGAGAGCTTCTGCAGGGTTGCTGCTGGTACTCGCTCGCTCCTGTTCTGATGGTGCCCTCTTCAGGCGAGGAGCAGGAAGTGGTGCTTTGGGAGACAAGCTGCCCGTTGGAGCACTGCCACATTCATCTGACACACAGAGAAATCAACCAG